ATTAAATCATAAACCTGACTTGTGGCTGAAAGCCGATGACTCGAACTGATTTGGAAGGAGTAATCTTGAGGGAGCCAATTAGAGTCACAAATCGGAATTGACTCCCCATTACCGACCTGCCAATGAAGACCTCGCTAAAGAAGAACCCACCCCTAAAGAAGACTCTGCCAGATAAACGAGGGGGACCAATCGAGGCGCACATCCAGAAAAGTTCCACGAGGGAAATACCGGCCTTTTGACACGAGAAAGGAAGTATCCGTTGCACCCGCCAACCTTGTTTCGCCAATAGGGACGGATTAAAAAGTTCCAAATCTTTGAACTCCAAGTCACCCAAACATTTCGGACGGCACATATCAGCCCAACTCACCCAATAAATCCATCTATTCACCAGCCACACAATTCCATCAAAACCGCACCATCAATTGATGAATCTCCTGAATCAACACTTTATGCAAGGGAAAACAATTCATTGTGTTGCAAGGTATAGGTTGAATTACCACTTCAATAAGAAGTTCTTTTCCTCCCATCGAGAAGAGACAGTCCATCCAACCTTGTAAATGACGCCAAATCCTTTCTTTAATGAAACCCAAGATACTCCTACGATTTTTCGGCATGAACGAAGGGAGTCCCAAATACTGTTCATGATACCTAGTCCGCCGAATGCCAAATAACAAACTAATTGCATGTTATAATTCATCGGAGGAATTCGAGCTAAAAGAAATTATAGAATTATCAAAATTAATTGTCTGACCAGATGCTCATTCATAAAGCTGGAGGATCAACCGAACCATAGCTCCATCGAACAACTTAGTTTTGAAGAATAGTAAACCGTCATCAACAAAAAAAACAGATGAGAAATAGGGGGACTGCACCAAGCGATAGACATACCGATGATCGTTCGTCTCCGCTACACCCTAGAAAATATAGGAAAGTCCCTCTGCGCTTAACAAAAATAAATAGGGGGAGAGGGCTCTCCCTATCGCAGACTTCGGGATGGAATAATATGACCCACCCACTCACCATTAAAATTAAAGGAATACGTAACTAGACATAATTTTACCAGATTTACCCAAGACTCAACAAAACCCAGCATTAGCATAATATGTTCAAAAAAACTCATTCTATACGGTCATATACCTTACTCATATCCAGTTTCAAGGCTGTCGTGGCCTGATTCCCATTTTACCGACTCTTTAAGGAGTATACACATTCATAACCCAAAATGGCATTGTCATCCAACTGCTCCTATTTATTTTATGGTCAAAATAAAATAATGTGAATCAAATTCTAAATCACAAACTTCTGTTGCAAAATAAATTATTCATTCCTAACCATGGTCAATCTAGGGCATCACATCTAGTTATCATACCATGTCTCCCTACATATTTCTAACAAATCACAATAATGGAACTCGTTGTTTGGGGGTAAATACACCCGGGACACGTGGAGGACCATTATTCATTTTTGAAGAAACCGAATAAATGAGGATTGCTTAGGTCCACCTCGGCCCTACCGAGGTGGACCAAGTTTGCCCGCTGTAAAAGACTAAGTGTGGGAACCAAAGTTCGACCTGACTAGGGTCCGACCTGCTCGGAACTCGATAGGCCCGATATGAGAAAAAGACATGTAACCGCCGGTCGTGTGTACTGTCGGATCCGCTACCTATAAATAGAGGAGTTCATTTTACGCTCAGGTATCGAATCTCACCTCGAACTAAATAAGGAGTCTGATCTATACTGACTTGAGCGTCGGAGTGCTCACCCTCTTGTGCAGGTCCACTCTAGTGTTCAGGTCGGAACCGGAGACCGGGTTCGAGCTCGATTCGTGAAGAACCGTTGTGCAGATTCTTGCATAAACACTTGTGATGGATGGTTCCTCTATCAAGTATCAACCGCTCCATAAAATTAAAGTCTCATTATAACATAAACGTCAAAGTATATATGGCGAATAACAAATTGATGTCCAATACTTTCCTCTTTGAAGGTATCCTTCAATGTGCACACTCTTTCTTTAGTATCATTGCATCCAGCTTTTCTTCTTCTTAATTATCATGCTAATACATGTCTAACTAGCTTGATCAACTATTTCGTTGAAATCACGAGTCTATACTCCTTAAAATTGTGTTGTTTTTCACTCTTAAAATGATTTTATTATACATTATTAACATGATTATATTACCCATATTTCATTTTTCGTTTTTAAAACTTTACAAAAACTTATTTAACTAAAGAATATGAGAACCTCACAACATTCAAACAAAATAAGTTCGTTACGAAGGATTGAGCTAAAGTCGTCTCTCTCAAGTCAATGATCTTTTATTTCTAGTACTCTAGTTGGTTGGCGTCTACTTCTAGTTGACTACTTTGCAGTGAAAAAGAAAGAAAATAGAAGGAAAAATAAAATATATCCAACCTGTTAAGTGATTGTATTAAATCATTGGAACAAGCTTAAAAAATAAAAATCCTAATAACAACAAAATATTATTTATACATTCTTTTTTTTGGGAGCAATTAACTTTATAAATTACCAAAGAATCAGCTGAAAAGAAATCAGGGGCATGCAGCTCTTTACCAATTTGGTTGCAGCCCAATTGTTGTCCATAATTATAGGATGTTTGAACAATTTGGGCAAATTATATATTCTCTCGTAGTGATGATTTTTTTAATTTAAAAAATTGGGGTTAGCTCTCTATTTTAATATTAGTTTTTCTTTTTATCAACGTTTTAATATTAGTTTTAATGCAGCACCTTTTTTAGTTTATCACTTGATAAAAACTTGTAACACATCCATATAATTGTGAAAGTTAGAACACGAATCCAAACAAATTATTTGTGATGTAAATGTAATCATAGATAAAGGATATTATTAATTTGCACTTCCGAACGGTACTAGATATCCAACAATCCCTTTTAATTTTGAACCAAAATTTTCCAAATTCATGTTTTAGGATTCCTACTTTTACTCGTATGAAATACCACATCAAATGGATAAAAACTTTTATATGGAAGTAAGTAGAGCTCAATCTCGTTCATGAGCTAAATTATGTCATTTTTTTAATATTAAAACCAAATCACAGCGATATAATTCAGCAGTACAATTCATTTTCTTGAGTTCTGAGGTTCAAATTTTCACTCACATTTARGGATGTTAGTGGATGTTACTTTTCTCCACAGTAACAGAGAATACCGTCCACATCCCATTTCCTCTTTTAATGTATATAAAAACTAAATTTCCTTCCCTTCCCATGGGCTCCTACTCTCACAATCTCGTCTTTCATTCTCAAAATTCTCAAACTCTAATGTCTTAGGAAACAATTTTCCTTTAAAAATGGAGATTGAATAATTTAACCATTCAAATGAAGACTTACCCAATTTTGTGAGGATGGAGAATGAAATAAGGGGTGGGATGGTGAAGTCATCCTCGTCTCCGCCCCATTAACGCTCCTACGCACATTTATCCTACTGAAAAAATTGAATATTAACCTATGTTGTGTAATAAGAACAAAAAAAACCTCGCTATAGAGAAATAAACCTTGATCTACTTTTACTTTCTTTACGATTTAACAAATATATAGATTTCACATTAGAAACTAATCAGAAACACTTTTTTCCTTTTTGGTGCAAACTAGAAGTGCATTGCAGAGTCTTGAATTTGTGAAAACTTGAAGTTCCTTGTTGGCACATATTTTAAAGACAAAATCACTTTTCTCGTCAATATAAAACTGAAAAAATCATCTCTTTAGCAGAGTTTCAAAAGAACTGAAAATCTTCTTTTCAGTGGGAACAAGCTGCAGACAACATCACCCCCTTCCAAAACAGATACCAAACAGTGTTTCATAAACCACTGGGCAAAGTCACCATCAAAAGATATTCTATGTCACAACATTTTTATAACATAAAGAATTTGAGCCGATACATATTCCTTTATATCAAAAGAATTAATGTGGAGAATAAAATTTGAACAACTATTTGCCCACTAGAAACACAGATTATACACTTCTATCAAATCAGAGCCGTCGGATGGAGCTSTTTGGTTGGCTTTGGCTTTTGATCATATCAATGAATGAGATGGTCTTGACTTTTGAATGAGTTGGCAATTTTTATTATCAGAAATGGATCCTCTATGATTTATTATGAATAATAAATAAAGGATCTAATTCTAATGAATAAAACAGGGGATCAAATTCCAATTCTTGAGCTGCTGCTTTTCAGACTCTACAAGGTTTTGGCATTATTCTTCTAAAAAGCAGAGGGTGATGTCATCAGGCTTCTGATATCTTCAATGGCTTCCTACAATTGTAAAGAAACTACAGAGACATTAGGTTTTGTATAGCAAAGAAAATTTTGGCATTGCCAAAAGGAAATTCCTTCTCATGACAATTATTCTCACACTTTTGACCATTTTTGGGGGAAAAAAAAAATTCCTTCTCACAACTCTGCAATGAACTCTGCCACTGTATTCCCATTACTTCACTTGCAATTCAGTTCTTTATTCCTTCTTCCCACTGTTTCAAGATAAACAAAAAAGAGATTATCAAAAGCCTACAAAACTGCAGGCTAAATTTAGAATACAGGAGTGGATACAGGCTTTATAATCATGCAAGAAAAACTGGTGTGTGTATTGGGTCATTTCTTGAAGCATTATTCTTCAACAAGAAAAGAACAACAGCTGAAATGAAAGATACACAACTGATTTAAATGCAGGAAAAAGAGGAAAATAAAATTTTAAAAATGATGGAAATCCCTTTTCATGTTCTTTCAAAATGAAGTAAAAAACTAAACCTCGAAGTTATAGAGCTATCATGTCAGCCTAGTTAGATCTCCTTTATTTAAAGAAGTGATAAATCTAAAGCACATGAGCACAAGAATTCTGGAATCTACTTTTAGCTTTTAGTGACAAAAATACCCCCCACTTTCATAAGTAATCAGTCCCGCTATTTACACATTATTATCACAATATTAATACTCCATATCTAACCATCACACGAGGGATTAGAAAAAGGTGATACATAAACTGTCGACTCATGTATAACATAATGGATAATTCTTAATCTAAGTAAATAAAATACCATATAGCATATGCAGTTTAATTATCAGTTAATACAATAAAAGTTTGGGTAGGGTATTATAATATAACTGCAAATGCCTCTCATATTATAAGATCTCTACACAGACTTATGCTCATCTATAAATAAGAGAGTTGAAGGTCATTCTGGGTATTATTGGAACTTTTGAAGAGGGTTCAAAAGGAACAGTGGTTCAGAACCTGAGCTTTTATCGATTAATAATGCAATCAAGAAAAGCAGAGAAAAGTGCTTTATTAACCAGGAATTTCCATAGACAATAAGAAAAATCTTCAATCCTTCTTCTGCTGGTCACCATGATTTCGTTGTCTGATGTCTATCATGTTGTAGCAGCCACAGTCCCTCTGTACGCGGCCATGATGTTAGCTTACATCTCAATAAAATGGTGGAAGTTCTTCACACCGGAGCAGTGTTCTGGAATAAACAAGTTCGTGGCAAAGTTCTCAATCCCACTGTTATCATTTCAAGTCATTTCAGACAACAACCTCTACAAAATGAACCTGCTACTGATATCCGCTGACTTTCTTCAGAAAATTTTAGCTATTGCTCTGCTGGGAGCAATCACTAAAATCACCTCTCGGGGAGGATTAAATTGGATTATCACTGGTCTCTCTCTGTCAACTATGCCCAATACTCTAATTCTTGGACTACCGGTACTGAAGGCCATGTACGGTAGTGAAGCAGATGTGCTTCTTGCCCAGATAGTCGTCTTACAGAGCATTCTCTGGTACAACATATTACTGTTTCTCTTTGAGTTCACTACCACAAAAGCAGCTTCTTTAGCTCCAGCATCAGAACTAGAAGCCACAGGTAGGTATTGGAATTTGCTTTTTAAGAATAGGAACAAAGAGAATCAAATCACCTCAACTTTATAAGTCATTCTTTGTGTATAGGTTTAGAACTTCCCCAACAAAAATGGTTATACTCAGGCCATGAACTTCAATAACCATCCCAGCTTAAGTCATTCTTCATGTATAACATTAGGAATTTAGGACAGCCCACAATAGAAATGGCTGTATTCATGCCATCAACTTCAATAACTTTCCTTCATACAAAAAAAACCAAGAATGGAAGCTCACAAATTTCTCTTGATTACTCTTCTTCATTTCCTAAATTTTTTCTCTTCCTACTTCCATTATTCATGAGTGCTATATCTATTCCAGTGTATTTGCTGGTACAAAGAATACTCAACATACTCACACACGAATTCAAGTAACCAAAATGTGAAAGCTAATTTGGTCAAACCCAATCATTGTAGTTATTTTGTTTGTCTTTTTGTAAAGTGGCAATTGATACAGCTCAAGAAGGGGGAGCAAAAGAAGAAAGTGAGGAGGAAAGAAACAGAAATGGAAGGAGTCTCAAAACCAGTTCCATTCTCTTAACAGTTGCTAGGAAGCTTATCATCAACCCCAATACTCATGCAACAATATTAGGACTCATTTGGGCAAGTATACGATTCAGGTGAACTTAGGATTAAATAATAGCTCTCACTTCAAAAAGTTAATAGATGTATTGGAATGAAATTAACATGCTCACAGGTGGGGAGTAAAATTGCCAGAAGTTATTGACAGATCGATAAAAATTTTGTCAAATGGAGGACTTGGTATGGCAATGTTCAGCTTAGGTATGAAGTGAAAATGTTACAGAAGTTCCATCAAGAAAATGAGAAAAGAAACCTAACTTCTAATTGTCTAACTTATTAGGTCTATTCATGGGTTCACGGCCTAGCATTATAGCATGTGGGACAAAGATGACACTGGTGGCCATGGGAATGAAATTCTTAATTGGGCCTGCGCTAATGGCGGCATGCTCAGTTGTTCTAGGACTCAGGGGCAGATTGCTCAAAGTGGCAATTGTGCAGGTTTGTCGTAATTTAAATTATTAAGTCCACAACCAGGATTGACAATTCCATTTGATGTTTTTATTTCTTCTTTTTCTTACAGGCAGCACTTCCCCAGGGCATTGTTCCATTCGTCTTTGCCAAAGAGTATAACATACATCCAGAAGTTTTAAGCACAGGGTAACTATTGTAATTGTCAATTCCTATGTCAATTTTCAAACTAGACATTTTCAATATCACTCATCCAAAAGCCAAAAGATCAAAGAATGTTGAGGCGGCAACATTTGTGATTTGAGCAGTCTAATGAAAAGCGAGTTATATATCAAAACTACATATTGAAATGAGGTTTTCTTTTGGTTACAGGGTACTCCTGGGCTTGCTCATTGCGTTGCCAGTAGCATTGGCCTATTACTCCTTGCTGTCATTGTAAAGCATCAATGCATGCAGTCATGCCAAGACAGGATACATGGTGCTGAAACAAGAAACTTACGACATCCACTCTAAACACCAGGAAAGACCACATGCAGAGATGAAATTTGTTTAGTTACAAATTTTTTTGCCATTTTTTTTCCATCATGGTATAGTGCTAACGATTCCTCTGCCAGAACTATTTGCATCCCGTTGTCTGTATAGTCCTATTATCCATTTGTTTGACTCTGTAACAGTTCAACATTAGCCTGGCTATGAAGATTCTCTCAAAGACAATCGAAAAATGCATGAAAATTCAAAGAAGAAACTGTCAAACGGTTTGTGATCATAGTCAAGAATGCCGGAACCGCAGTATAAAGTCTAGGACAATATCTTTTCATCTTCTCTATCTTTTATTTTTCCTTGGAGTCTTACTATATAACTTTCAAACATCAGATCGAGCCATCCTCAATCATAATTACAATTCTATGAAAAATGTTCTGATACATATTAGGGTAAATGTCGGGAGGATTAACAAAGTTAGGATAATGAAGCCAACAACGCGATATGACTTTCTACCAGAGCTTGATTTCTTTAACCAAAACCAGTGAGATAGATTCAATTTCCAGAAACAATTTACATGGAAAACCTGCTATCTAGAGAAACCGCAGAGAAACATTCAGGATTACAATTTACACTCACCTTCAAATTTAAGAGTCATTACGTTGAATCGTGCCTCCTGGATCCCATTGATTGACGCCATAAATCACAGGGATTAAGCTGAATTTTCAGGCCACAGTTTGGAGAGTGAGTTACTTTCCAAGAATTGGTAGTTCATATGCGGGATACCGAAGTGGAAGATCCATCGCGATTTTGGAATCATCGTGCAATTTTTTTTTTTTTTTATTTAGGCTAATGCTGTGTTTCCGTCATGATTTCAAATCACTGTATTTCAAATTATAGAAAGGATTTTAAATTCTTAATTGTGTTTCTTTTTTTTTATTTTTGAAATAGAAGTAGTTACATTATTTCCCTGGTTGATAAAGATAAAAAGAATTTAAATGTGTGCTGTTTTCTAACGTTTTAAATTAGGAAATCGTATTTTAAGCTTATTATAGTGTCAAAAACCTTTCATTTTAAGTTATGTTAGGTTATACATGCACATAGGACGTTTTTACGTCATTTAGAGTTGATTTTTAACAGAAATTACACTTTTGTGCAGAAAAATTCCGAGCTAGGCGCTTGGCGCCTTCCCCAATCTCAAGATTGCCTTAATGTAAAATGCACGTTTTCGTGTGATTTGAAGCCTTCCCAAGCCTTGCCATATGTCTTCCATGCATTGAACATTGTCAATTCAACAACTAACCAACCAATAGGTGTTTTAAATTGATGGCTCTCCACAAAGCTCTTAACCTCCTAACCACCTTAAAGTCCCTATAAATTAAGCAACTCATTCTCTTCATTCATCAAGATTTCGCTCGAGTAGCCTAAACATAGGACCTCGACCTAAGGTTACGGTTGGTTTTTACTAAATTAAGTTCTTTTTTCTAATAGACATATTAGGAATGGACTTAAACCTTCAAAATCACTTAGAAATAAGAAGATGACGAAGTAAAACCGAAGAAAATTTATGAGAGGCGCCTGGCGCCTAGTTGGAAAAAGTTTGTGTATTTTTAGCTAATTTGAAGTAACTAGCCTAGATTTATTGCAATGAGTTTTTAAATATCAAAACCAACATTATCCTTACTATTTGTCACCCCAAATTCAATTACAAAGTCACTGATTATTAACATTCCCTATAAAAAGACTTCATTTGTCCTTGAGGATCGATACTCGAAATACTCGTTCGTTTTACTACTTGTGACGGGTGTACACTTGCACTCTCATTTATTTTGAATCCAAAATCCCAAACAACGTCACACGGGTAGAATTTGAAGGTGAGTCCCCTTGTACAATATGAAGAAGCCAAAGAAGAAAATCGTTTTTCCAGCACCACGAGATGAAATCAAAATTGGGAAGTAGGGCTTATATCTCCATCAACCAGCTACTCTCTTCCCCCATGGTTCGTAAATTCCCTTGGATTAGACGGATTGCCATCCGACTCCACTTCAATGTGAGGGTAAGCCGATGAAACTGCAAATCTTAAATCTTCTATTATTCCACAAATTTTAGCAAAAAGAAGCGACAACTAGTACGGGAGACGCGTAGATTTTGCAGCAATGAGAGCACCTGGAGAATCTCGGATGATACATCCGAGACTTGTTGAATCATCCCTACAAGCAACATCTGTATTTAATTTTAGAGAGAGATTTGATGGAGGGCTCCATTGATGAGTAGTCAAAGAAGACGTTTGGTTTCGAGGTACGAGATTAGGCATTTRAGCCTGCCAAAAATTGTTCAAATAAGCATTTATCCAATCACTCTTAATTTSAAGAGGGATGTTTGATTTCCACGAATTGCAGAGTTTCGGTCATTCCATATAGCCCAACAGGTAACTGCTGCAACACTCTTTTTATTTGGATGAGGTTGATCTGACATGTACCTCCAGAAATCCAAAAACTTGTGATTGAAGTCCGCAGGAAATCGGGCCAGAGAGGGGAAGAGTATCTGCCAAATTTTTTGCGCTCGCTTACAATGGCAGAGAGAATGGGTGATAGTTTCGTACAAAGCTCCGCATAGTTTGCAGGTAGGTAAAACATCAATTCCTCAGTTGTGCAAATTGTAGGCTATTGGAATGTGTTCATGAGCTGCTCTACATATAAAAATCTTTATTTTTGAAGGAACAGAGAGGTTTCAAATAGATTTCCAATGTGCACCTTGAAAAACATTACAAGTAGATGCTGCATTACATTTTATATGCATGAATAGCATGTAACCACTTTTTACACTGTAGGATCCTCTTTTATCATAATGCCAAAGYCATGAATCCTGCAAATTACATAAACTTATAAGCATAGCTAGAATCAAATCTTTGTCTTCATCACAGAAGAAGTTTGAAACCAATTCTTTATCCCATTCTCCACTTTGGTTAATAAAATTGGCCACTATAATATCTTCAACCTCATGGTTAACTATAATAGGTGTGAAAGAATTTGGTCTTAGGATACAAGGATCCGAGAACACCTTAATTGTAGAACCATTTCCAACTCTAAGTCTCAAATCTTTAGCAAGAAGATCTCGGCCCCATATGAATCTTGTCCAAAAATATGAAGAAGATGTGGAAGTTGTAGCCTGTAGTAGAGATGAGTCATTGAAATATTTTGATTTCAATACTTTGGCATCTAAAAGATTTGGGCATTGGAGAACTCGTCAAACTTGTTTAGCCACTAAAGCTTGGTTAAAACCTTCTAGATCCCGAAAATTTAGACCTTCATGCTCTTTGGGAAGACACATTCTATCACATTTCATCCAATGAAATTTCTTAGTATCATTTGTTGTACCCCACCAAAAGCGTGCAAACATCTTAGCAACCTCATCACAAAAGACCTTAGGGAGCTTAAATACACTCATGRCATATGAGGGAATAGCCAGGCTAACGCTTTTAATTAGAATCTCTTTGCCTCCAATAGAGAAGAAAGAGCGTTTCTAGCCTTGCATTGCTTTCCAGATTTTATCCTTCAGATAAGACCAATTCAAACCTTTCCGTCTAGTAAAAAAAGATGGCAACCTAAGATAATTCCCAAACTGCTTCACCAAATTGACATTAAGAATAGTCTGAAGATAATGTTGTCTATCTGGATGGACATTTGGTGAAAAGAGAAGGGCGGACTTTGAGAAATTTATGCATTGCCCCGTTGCTTTACCATAAGTATTCAATAGATTCCTAAATGTTAAGCATTCTGACTCCAAGGATCTCAGAAATATAAGACTATCATCTGCAAATAATAAATGAGAAATAGATGGGCCACCTTCCTCAAAATTTATATCTGTGAGTCGACCTGGTAGCATAGTTGATGGGCAGTGGGTACTTATTGCGTACCGTGAGCTTGTTCAAGGCGCGATAGTCGATACAAAGGCGGAGACTGCCATCCTTCTTCTTTTGGAAGAGAACTGGGGCTCTATAAGGAGCCTTTGTTGGGCGGATGAATCTTGCATTCAACAATTCATCCAGCTGCTTCCTGAGTTCGGCTAATTCAGGAGGAGCCATGCGATAAGCATTTTTAGCGGGCCGTTTCGCCCCTGGGACCAGCTCGATTTCGTGGTCGATTCCCCTACGCAGCGGTAGGGACGGGTAAACTGTCGGGCATAACGTCTTCAGAGTCAGCTAGGACTTGTTGGATCTCACTGGGAATTACTACTTACTACTCTCTTCTTCGATCACTGGGATGGCCATAAATGTTGGTTCGTCATGAGCAAGGGCCCTTTTTAGCTGCATAACTGATATCATCTTAACCCCACTTGGTTGTTTTATACTCGTCGGAACAACGGTGGGATCGGATCCAGTAACAACTAGGCACTTCGCTAGGGGCATGGGGATGACTTTGTGCTCTAGAAGAAATTCCATTCCAAGCACGACGTCGAAGTCATCCATTCTAACAATTACAAAGTCCACTTTGTCGCTCCATGTCCCGATCTTTAGTTGGACCCTTTTTGCTATCCCTACGATGGGGAGAGCCGCGGAGTTAACTACTTTCATCTTTCCTGGATCTTTATCCCATTGTAGATTCAGACGGCGAGCCTCGGTTTCAGTCATGAAGTTGTGTGTGGCTCCACAATCCACCATAGTACTCTTGGCAGCCTTATCGTGAACCAACATGTCAACATACATGAGCCCTCTCTCTAGTGGTTCTTTTGCTTCTCCCACCTTCTTCTGGAGAGCCGACAGGAATTTCAGTGCCCCCATGCGGGGGTTATCAGTGGGCTCTTCGGTCGGTACATCTATCTCAGCGGTTTCTGTCTCGACCTCAGGGCCATTGGCTATGGTAGCTTGGAGTGCATTCAAGGCAGCTCGGTATGGGCAGTCGCTTACGCAATGAGCCCTTTTACACAGAAAGCAAACGAGGGGCCCTCGATTGAAGTTGTTCTGTTGGTTTGGCCCGCGCTAGTTGGTTCCACCCCTCTGATAGGGTCTGCGATATGTTCCTCCATTCCTGTCTCCTCCCCCACTTTTGGGTGAGCTTGTTCTAGTGGTTTTGTTCCCACTACTCGAAGAGGGTTGGTTCCTTCTGTAATCCTGAGACTGCTCGTTACCAAGATCAAATAGACGTTCAGTCGCAGCATAAGCAGAGCCGAGGTCTTGAACCCCTTGGTCGTACAACTTGGACTTGGCCCATGGTTTCAAGCCTTCCACAAAGTAGAAGACTTTGTCTTTCTCTGACATGTCTCGTATGTCCAACATCAGTCCAGCAAACTATTTTACGTAGTCTCTAATATACCCAGTGTGTCGCAATTCTCGCAGTTTACGTCTCGCTAGAATCTCAACATTTTCCAGAAAAAACTGCGCCCTGAGGGCTTTCTTCAACTCGTCCAATGTGTTTATAGTGCATCGTCCCTCTTAGATGTCCATATACTTGGATCTCCACCAAAGCTTTGCATCTTCAGCTAGATGCATGGTTGCTAAAGTGATCTTGGCTTCTTCTGTCGTGGTCTTCACCTTGTTAAACTGGACATTACCCCCTGTTGGGCCTTGGTTTTCCACCGCTCTCATGGTGAGGTTCACCTTTGTGTTTATCTCGGCAACTTCTGCCCGCACGACTTCTATAGCAACTTGAAAGTCGTCAGAAAGATCACTGACCATCTGCATGATCACCTTCTAGGAGCTGTCTAACTCTTCGACATGCTCCTCTACATGAGCAACAGAGCTCGTCGAGCTGTCCCCTCACTCGAAACTAGCCGTTTTCCCGACTTTAATTTCTAGGGTCTCAACCCTAACCAACAACTCTTTCACTGGCAATGCATCAATTCGAGCATTTGCTGTATCGAT